TCTATCTGTCTGTCTGTCTGTTTGTCCGCAAAAACTTTAACCTTGCCCATAACTTTTGAATGGTTGGAGCTATGGCTTTCATTTTTCTCATGTGTATTCCTCGTGACAAAACCTTTCCTTGGATACCACCATATTTGACCTTTTGACCTTGACCTTGGAGTTTTACCCCAAAATTTCACCAAACTTTAACTTTGGCCATAACTTTTGAACAGTTGGTGCCAGGGCTTCCATACTTCACATGTCTTCACAACGCCTTTCGAAAAGGCGTTATTACGCCTTTCTAAAAGGCGTTGTTACGCCTTTTCAAAAGGCGTTATTATGCCTTTCTAAAAGGTGTTATTAGGCCTTTTCAAAAGGCGTTAATATTACGCCTTTCCAAAAGGCGTTATTATGCCCTTTGAAGAGCCATTATTATGCCTTTGCCAGGATACAGGCAGATTCAGATTGGGACTTTGCTTGCCATGTATTAAAAATTCATGTCAATTTTGAAAATATTTTTCTCTCCTCTTGGAAAAAAGCAGGCAAACTATTTGCATGGGTATAATGAGCAATTAGCCTTCAACCAAATTTGTGAAATCCATGACCCTTTGTAGAGGTGTGTCTGGCATCAGAGAAGGACTAAGTTGGTTTAACACTGAAAATACATTACACATTTAAAAATCTTTTTTTCCTGGAAATCTAACTGCAATATGTTTAAATTATTTTTTAAGAAAGTAGCCCTTTATTTAATTGTGAAATTCATGTCCCGAGGGTAAGATTTCAGCCCCCGGAGTGGGCCAAGTTAATCATGTATTGAAAATAAAAGGCGTAATAACGCCTTTTGGAAAGGCGTAATAACGCCTTTTGAAAAGGCGTAATAACGCTTTTTTCGCGTTATTACGCCTTTTTTGCGTTTTAACGCCTTTTCAAAAGGCGTTATTACGCCTTTTTGAAAGGCGTTATAACGCCTTTAATTTTTTTTTCTCCATAGATTGATCCTTATAGGCTTCCGTAAAAAGGTAAAAGACCGAGGTCAGAAATTCATACATGTATATTGCACAAATATTCTATTATTTGATTGTTTGATCCGATATAGTTTAAGTGCAATTTCCGTATCACCAGTTCAAATAAGAAAAAAAAAGCAATATTAAAAATGTGTATTCCAGTTTAATAGAATCCTTTTTTGTATCATTTTGTACATAAAAATTATACTGATTCTATATATTTATCAAAAATAAAAATGAAATAAAGTCAATGTGACCATCAATAACACTCAATCACAATTTTGTTGATTTAAAGAAATCCAATTTCGATTACAAAAGCTGATTAAACTGACATTCATTGTTGTTCCTTAGGCATCAAATCAAATCTTAAATCACTTTAGATCAGGTAAATTTTATCGTTCAAGTCACTCGTAAAAATTAAAGATAGTGAAATTTCTCTTTGTTCATTCAAATAAACGACACATGCTGTTTTTATCAAATACACCAAGTGTGATTGAAGACAGTAAAAACAGATTTAGGAAATTAATTGTCTGTTAATGGGTCTCATAAATCATCTCTTGTTAATATTTTTGTCATTTCTGACAAATGTTGCACCGCGTTTTCCCGGTGTAAAACACAGTGACATTCGCAAAATTATTGAATAAGACCGCGGAACATTAACTGGCAAAATTGGAAATATGCAGCTTACGTCATTTTCATCTGTTACAGTCAAAACATTTAATGATAGACAATGAAATGGGCGGGTATAATTCGGCACGGACGTCTGCGGAAACATCGGATTGAAATTGCAATTCGAAATTCAATTTCAATCCACCTCAGCTACGCTAGAGCGCACGGTGTTACTGATTGACACAGAAGACAAATAATTTGAAATATATATAAATCAGAATTTTCTATCCCATGTTTTTAAAGAAATATAAAGGGACAAATATTTGATTTCTGTTTGGTATATGTGTGTTTGGTGGTTGGGCGGTTGGAGGGGGGGGGGGGCTGAACGATCTTGGAAATGAATAAGAACGTTTTATTTTAGTTTGGACGACCCCTCCCTGTTTTTTGTTTTTTTTTGTCAAACATTTTTCAGAGAAGAAAAAACTAAAAAAAAATAAATAAAAGCACCTGTCGTCCTAGAAATTTTAAAATATATTCTTCCTGTGAAGGCATGATCTGACTCGACAATTTTTGACACCCCCCCCCCTTTCTAGAATCAAATGGCCATCCCCTGAAAAAATAATCTCTGTATTCTAGGACTTTGACGTGTCCTTAAAATTATAGGCTAAAAAACTCATATAAATATGAATTTCAAACAATATGTATTTGGGAATTGAATTTATTTGTCTTTTGAATCATACATTCACACTTTAGGTTTGAAAACAGCTCAGATGGATTGAAATTGAATTTCATATTTTTTTCAGTGAAGAAGAAAATAAATAATGTCTTTTGTCATCCTACAAATATTTAATATATTCTTTCATGTGAGACATAACCATAAATAATCTGATTCGACAAAATTTGCCAGCCCCCCCCCCCCCAACTTCAAATGGTCTTCCCCTAAAAGAATATACATAAAGCTATATCTCCTATAACTTTTGTTTGTCCTCAAAATAAAAAATTGTTATACATTAATGCCCTGTTCACACGGAGAGTTTAATTCGAATTAAACGTAAGTTACTGCGAATTAAATTTGATCTGCGTTCACACGGAGAATTTAATGCGAATTAGTTTAATTCGAATTAGTTTACTGCGCATTAAATTACTTCGCATTAGCTCCGTGTGAACGCTAAGCGAAGCTAATTCGAATTAAATTTTACGCATGCGTAAGAGCAAAATTAAGTCACCTGCCACATGACGGTGGTCAGTTATAGGTATACCTATGCCATTTTTAGTGCAAAACAAAGGAAAATTACGTTAATCACTGAAATGTGAATAGACACTATGACATCATGCCAAATGGATTTGCTCTGCATAAGGTGACGTGATTTGAAAATGACGTCATAATAGCCCAACTGAAAAGCCTTACTGTAGAAATAAAATTTTAATTCGCATTAGTTTACTTCGCATTATCTGTCGTGTGAACGCAATTTAATTCGCATTATTTTAATTCGCATCATTTTACTTCGCATTAATTTACTGCAAATTAAACTCTCCGTGTGAACAGGGCATAATTTCAAACTATACGCATTTGGGAACTGAAATTATTTGTTGTTTCGATCACACATTATAACTTTGCGAAAAATAGCTCAGGTGGATTGAAAATGAATTTCGAATTGCAATTTCAATCCAATGTTTTCGCAGATGTCCGTGCCGAATTGTGCCCGCCCATTTCATTGTCTATCATAAAGTGTTTGACTGCGACAGATGGAAATGACGTAAGCTGCATATTTCCAATTTTGCCAGTTAATGTTCCGCGGTCTTATGACGTCATAATTATATTTATTTAATTAAATTTGATATTTATTTTTTGCTTTCATCGAACGTTATACAGAACTTCTGAAAAATATCAATATGAAATCTGCATACTATCTAAACATTCATTAATACTAAGATTTTACTATGAACCTATTGCTATGCATGTCCAGTAGTTCTTAGACATTAATTCAAGGGGGCACTTTCAAAACCTACCAAACCGAGCCCACCCCCTAAAAATTGTAATGAATAAATAGCAAAAAATAATGACCTGTAACTTCATAGGCGCAAAATGAAAGTGGGGGGGGGGGGCTAAACCAACAAAAAACGTTGGGGGGGGGGGGGGGGGGGCTAAGCTCCAATTTTGACTATGAACTTTCTATGGCTCAGATAGGAGAGGTAAAGTTTGATTAAGTAAGTATGTAATCGTAGTGACATTGTGCATTATACACATGAACCCTCTAATTTATGCCAGTAAAGAAAATAAATATTAAACTGTACTGCACTCGGCCCATTGGACTTATAAGTTACTTTTTCCATTATACTGATAAATTTACACATGCAGAAGAGTTTTTCTACATGGTCAAAGGCTGTATGTACAAATTTGGCTAATTTTATCTGGTAATTTTGATTTAACACTGAAAAATAATCCGTATCATTATTATTTGGATGATTATTATAAATCTATCAAAATACTTTTTCCTTATATTATCATAAATTTGAAAGTCATATAATTGAGAAGCGTTTTTTTTCCATCTTCGACAGAAGAGCTTGAACAGAAAACACACGTCCTTTCACATAAAACGACCATGCAGTTTCCATATACGAATAGGAAGAATGCCACATCTATAAGCTGTGTCAGGGCTGAATGTTCTTGTTTTGAGAATCACAATAAGATTTAAAGGATATATGTGTCCTTAATTTTGGAGATGATCGTATTTTAACTTTCCAGTCGTTTTCAGCGTATTGACGAAGTTTTTGGCACACAGAATCTGTAATCACCATTTCCCTGTTTTCTTAGAAGCTGATATTTAGCATATCAAAAATATTTTTAACGACTCTGTTTAACCTGTGAGCATCACACTCCCTGCATATTGTAATCCCAAATGATTTTTTTTTTGTTAATCTCTCATTCCCCAATTGAAGAATTTGGTTCCAATCTTCATTTAAGTTTTTAGTATTACATGTATTAGGGAAATGGTGTTTAACGTTAAATCATTTTAGAAATTGCAGATCCAGGAATTGAAGTTGGGGGGGGGGAGGGGCGCAAGAAGTAGGCAGGGGTCTTGGGGCCGCCTTGATTTTAGCCCCCAGTGGGTCCAGGGCGAAGCCCAGTTGGGTACCCGGGGGGGGGGGGCGAAGCCCCCGGAAGCTCCTGGATTCTAGAGATTTTGTAGGGTAAAACTGAGGTCTACCGAGTAGACATTTTGATATTTATGATTTACGCTAACTTTGACAATTTTAGGGTGCCCCCCCCCCTTAAAGTTAGAATTATTACCTATTTTTAAAGTTGGTCTGTAAAATGATACGCCTATGTAAAATGATAGGCCTAATTATATAAAGAGTTATCTTTCGTTTCATTTACTTTCTTGGCAGCGTCTGCTCGATAACATGTGGCACGGTAGGCCAGTATCGACCATGGTATGTCTGTTTGGATCGGGATGACGAGAGATAAGTTGACAACACAATAGAAAAGACATGTAGGTATCTCTGTTAGTAGGAGTTCAAAGTTTGTGTGTATTTGCATTTCTTATTATATAGTTATATGTGTAAATTAAGCCCCTGATTAGATGTTAACTTCCGAGGAAATTCGACCTGAATGGATCGTTTGATTGATCCTGTCAAACGGTATAACCTATCTTTTGAACTCCTGGTTATCTAACTGTAACAAAAATAAATCTTTCACCACTTTCTTTGGCGTATATCACTTGTTAAGGTAAATAAGGACCCTGGGGTAGAGCACTGTTGTCACTCAAATTGAACTCTCTTTTGGGTATCATGTTTGCATGTGTAATAAGAAAGAAGAAAATTTATGTTGGATCGGGACTCAAACCCTATAGTCTGTCCCACGACCGGAACGTCACTACTTTTTGCAAGATATCTCAAAATATATAAATACCTTGGCTTTCAACCTAGGTTTGATCGGTAGATTGATTTTTTTCCAAACTTCCTGCATTTATACGAACCCTCGAGGTCAACCAGTGTATTGACACGGCGGTAAATTCAAAGTCTACGGGGATTTAACATTGTCAAAATGGCAGCCACTTCGGAAGGGGATCCATCATTATTCGTAATTTTCCGTACATTGCCGTCAGTGAGGCAATGACGTCACGCAAGTTCGGGAATCCTCTGTGCTTATCGACGTCCAAAAAGCTATAAAGCCCGAAACTTGCCAAGTATATATATAGGAGAAATTACGTCTTCGACAAAACTTTCATACCCAGGGCCAGACAGAATTTCACAGAAGGGATCAAAGATTTTTAAAAACAGCTAGCCTATACACTGCATGAAGAAAAGAGGTATGTCTCAGTTCATATCTCATAAGATTGTAATTATCATGTTAAAAACAATCGAGGCAACTGCAAATTTAGCTCAAGTGACATGACTGCTTTTATTGCCAAAACGTGGAGTCCTAACTTCTAATAAGCGTAGTCATATTATTAAGATTATTAAAATTAATTGCTGCTTTACCTTACTCCTTAGCCTTCCACATAAATCCAACTCCCTAGATCCCTAGCTATAGTTTGTTATAAACACGGTCAAAAGAAGAATCGTATTACTTCTATGTGAACAATTGATGTCCGTAACTGCACAGTATATCCTGTTTTTGTTAGACTTTCAACACTTTAAACACATAAATCCACAATCAATATTATATTTTGAATCTCGGTGCAAAACAACAATTGTTGTCTGCATCAAACTACGTCACCAATGGAATTTGACCTTGCCCTTCGAAAACTTCCTGTAATATCGGCATTAGGTAAATTCAGGCCCTTGGATATATTTTTAGTGTTTCCACAAATATAACAGAATGCCAAAAATTAAATACTCAATCCTACACACAAAAACTACATAACACAAGTGTAAAAGATTATACTACTTTTTTATTTTAATTTTTCCTTTTCTTTTTTCATCATCTTATTTTTTTCTTTCGGTAGAAAGTTCAATAGTTTTACATTAAAAAAAAGGTTATACATGCATATATATTGACACTTTCAATACAAGTCAGAGCCAGCTGCTAGTTTGATTCTCATATAATAAAAAAAAAATTATTCATAAAAACAATAGATAAAATTTTTTAAACAAGAATTTAATTGCAGGATACCAAAATAGCTACCTGGTGAAGGCACAATATAGACAAGCACAAACAAACAAGTACATAAAATAAATTCAGCCATAAGTAGCTGCAGATACATCCTAAGTAATTTTTGCTATATGGACTGTAGATACATGAGCAGTCTGGGCAGCTTAGTTGTTAAAATACCTCATTAGTATACAAGCATTTGTAATGCAGAGGTCCTGGGTTTGATTCCCAGTCAAGCAAAATTTTTTTCCTCATGTATTTGTAAATTTTCAAAGTATGTTTATTCATTATTCCATTCCCTGGTACATATGGCTTCCTGATATACATTTTTTTTCTAAATTGCATAATACCATGGAATCATTTTAATTTGTGGAGGTCAGTGATTGTGGGCAGGCATATAGTTTTGCTGTTTTGTGGACAGGACTTATTAAATAAGGTTAAACAAAATACAATCAAAGGAATTAATGGATTGATTAAAATGTTAAAATAAGCATTTGTGGAAATATAAATTTATGGGTATGGCTGATCCATGTGATAAAATCCAAGAATGTTGGTCCCCCACAAACAATGATGATTCCACAGTAGATGTCAATCAGTTTTTGTAAGCTACCTGTCTGAAATGGGCAAAGTAATTAATCATACTCAGATAATTGTTTTCAAAATTTTATTACTGCTTGTTTAACAGCTAGATACAGGTATATGTTTTTTTTAAAATTATCAAATAGAATTGCTTCAAACTTTAAACACATTTAGTGAGATTACAGGAAATATTGCAAATGATTAATGAATTGTCTTTCCTTTATTTAAAGATATCAGATCAAATTTAGAAGAATAAATGATTATGAAAATTGAGTGCCCAATGCTGCTGGTGTCCATGCTTTTGAAAAAAGAAGTAATGACTCAGAATCCATAGTGAGAAACAAGTCATGAATGAAGATTGAGAAAGAGTGTTTATGTTTGTCTCCACTAAAACTTCTGTGGTAAATGGTTGGTGTCTGGCTCATCCAATGATCAACCCATTGGCAGACTACCAGGTAATCCTTCATTCAGCCAATATACTTTGAGCCTGAAAAAAAAGATGAAACACATTTTAATCCATCATAAAGATTCTGGTGCATGAAAAATACTTTTAACTCTGTGCAAAGTGAAATTTAAAGGAATAATGAAAATTCAAATGATTATACTTGAACTTGCATTATATGTTAACATGAATTGATACATATTAAAAAATGCATGTTTATAGTCAATTTTCAATTTCAGGTTCCAACCTGAAGAATACATGGGAAGAGTAAAACCTTTTTCATTTAAATAAATACTTACTAGCTATAGTCTAGAAGAATGTCCTGAAACCTGAATGTTTAGTCCACCATCAGATGAATTTCAATCACATTATTCTGAAAAATTGAGTAGATAGTTTTCTACATGCATGCAAGTCTTAAAGTCACACTGTCTTGTCATAATAACTTTGCACCCCATTTAATTATACCTTCAAAAATGTTATTTAGTAATTAATAAAGGCATCATCAAATATTTTTGCTTTGGTTATTATTACATTTCTTTGATCAATGATTTGTCTTTTTAGCTCACCTGAGCCGAAGGCTCAAGTGAGCTTTTCTGATCAAAATTTGTCCGTTGTCTGTCGGCGTCGTCAGCGTCGTTGTTGTCGTAAACTTTTCACATTTTCATCTTCTTCTCCAGAACTACTGGGCCAATTTCAATCAAACTTGGCACAAAGTATCCTTGGGTGAAGGGGTTTCAAGTTTGTTCAAATGAAGGGCCACGCCCTCCTCCAAGGGGAGATAATTACGAAATAGCAAAAAATTAATGGCATTATTGAAAAATCTTCTTCTCAAGAACCAGTGGGCCAGGAAAGATGAAACTCATGTGGAACTATTGTCAGGTAGTGTAGATTCAAGTTTTTTCGAATCATGACCCCCGGGGATAGGGTGGGGCCACAATGGACGATCAAAGTTTTACATAGGAATATATAGGAAAAATCTTCAAAAATCTTCTTCTCAAGAACAGCAAAGCTATGATTGGTCATATTCATTTGGAAGCATCCTCAGGTGGTGTAGATTCAAGTTTGTACAAATCATGACCCCCGGGGATAGGGTGGGGCCACAATGGACGATCAAAGTTTTACATAGGAATATATAGGAAAAATCTTCAAAAATCTTCTTCTCAAGAACAGCAAAGCTATGATTGGTCATATTCATTTGGAAGCATCCTCAGGTGGTGTAGATTCAAGTTTGTACAAATCATGACCCCTGGGGGTTGGGTGGGGCCACATTGGACGATCAAAGTTTTACATAGGAATATATAGGAAAAATCTTTAAAAATCTCAAGAACAGCAAAGCCACGGTTTGTCATATTTATGTGGAAGCATCCTCAGATAGTGTAGATTCAAGTTTGTTCAAATCATGAACCCCCCCCCCCCCCCCCCCCCACTCCCTTTTTAGGAATAGGCCACTTATGCATTTAAGCTTTTCAATACTAAACTGATTTTTCCTTTTTTCCTAGCCACAGTGCTCAGGTGAGCGATGTGGCCCTTGGGCCTCTTGTAAATAGTTAGGACTGCAATAGGAAGATAAAACTGAAAACAAGAGGCCCATGGGCCACAACGCTCACCTGAGTAACTCTGGCCTTGATGTTTTTCACCTGATTTCTCCCCTCCCCCCCCCCCTTGTAGTACATATTGTGGCCCCTCTCTTACCCAGGGGTCATGATTTGAACAAACTTGAATCTACACAACCTGACAATAATTCCACATGAGTTTCATCTTTTCTGGCACATTGGTTCTTGAGGAGAAGATTTTTCAATAATGCCATTAATTTTTTGCTATTTCTTAATTACCTCCCCTTGGAGGAGGGAGTGGCCCTTCATTTGAACAAACTTGAATCCCCTTTACCCAAGGATACTTTCTGCCAAGTTTGATTGAAATTGGCCCAGCAGTTTTGGAGAAGAAGATGAAAATGTGAAAAGTTTACGACAACGCCGACAGACAACGGACAAATTTCGATCAGAAAAGCTCACTTGAGCCTTCGGCTCAGGTGAGCTAAAAATAATTATTTCTAGCCCTGCAAAAATGTTCTGAATTTAGAAGTTAAAATTTTTGGTGAATAAAAAAATATTTACATAACTCTCTTTCATAGTAGGTTTCCCGGCAGAAAATATATTATGCTATGGATACAATTACCATAAATTTTTTATTACAATAGAAAAACTATTCCTTCATATGGGTGTTAAAAGATCTGTCTATATGAATATTGTTGCACTAAACTATTGCAAACAAAAAATTGCATATACCAGTGAATAGAGTTTTGAAAAAGAAATACTCAGATGAGACCCTACAGTATACTAGGAAACAGATTTTTCAAATTAAGTCCACATTTGAGCAGTATGGGAACTTTGAGACAAAATAAAGCTGCTGCCTGAGAAACACAACACAGCAATTTGGAACACTGAATGTGGCACATGGCATTACTTGGAAAATTGCCTCTGATGTCAAATTTTTTTTCGGGGGGGGGGGGGGGGGGGGGGGGGGGGAATGTCTGTATTCAGAATAAATGATTCAGTTTTATCTTTACGTTTATACTGATGAAATTATATAGACATGACTTGTTCTTTATTTTTTTTCCTTTTTCCTCTTTTGCTTATGTTTTTATTTAAACTGGAAAGCCAGGACATGATTGCTAAAACACTCTTATATTCATCTACCTAGATAGTTATTCTATACATCAATACATGTACATAAATGACCCTTAGAACTCGGTCCCATAAAATTGACAAAACTTTGGGCTAAAGGTATATTTTAGATGTTAGAACTTGTAAAAAATACACATTTTTCAGTAATTAATTAAAAAAAAATAATAATAATAATAATGCAAAAATTATGTGTTATATATACATGATATAGAAAACTATATTGATTCCCCAGGGTGTTGACACTACAAATAAATGTAAAAGGAAAATGCATTTTACATCATGTAGATTGTGATTCACTGTCAAAAGCATGAAATGTTGAAAAGAAAGTATAGACTTTCATATATTGAAAATAATGTTTTTAACCAGCTGTTATTTTCTTTATGTAATCTTGGTGTTATTTAATGCTTTTTTCCTAATTGTTTAATCAGCTGATTGTGTCATTATAACCATAAAAGTACCTTTTTACGTTTTTAAACACATGCTTCTGTATATGGGGCACTGGTTAAAATGCCAAATATACATATACTGATTATACATGTACATAAGTACCACACGTTTTGGCATATTCTTACAATTTGGAAACACTTCTTTCTTGTGTGTACATTAGGTAGTAAAAACAACAACAACAAAAAATAAACAACTTACGTTTTTAAAAACACATTCTTGCATCATCATGGCCATTTCAACATCTGTATCCACAACTTGTACTGCATTATATTCGGCCGCGGACTATTTTCTCGGCGTTTATGACAAAACTCGTTATACAGTGTTAAATATATTTTAATTCAAATAAATACTCACATTATTAATAAGAACACTTTAAATTACGTCCTTTGATTTTCTCAGATTTTTTGGAATTTTACTTTGGAAAGAACGACTACTCCCTTCATAAACTGGTTCCCCGCCCCGTAATCTAGACGCTAATGGACGAGTTTACCATGTTAAATCCCCGTAGACTTTGAATTTGCCGCCGTGTTAATACGCTGGTTGACCTCGAGGGTTCGTATAAATGCAGGAAGTTTGGAAAAAAATCAATCTACCGATCGAACCTAGGTTGAAAGCCAAGGTATTTATATATTTTTAGATATCTTGCAAAAAGTAGTGACGTTCCGGTCGTGGGACAGACTATAGACCTCTGCATCACGAATCAGGTGCTCTAATCACTTAGCTACTCACTACCTAGACTGATACATGTATCCACAATTAGGCTAATGTTCAAACTAGTACATTCCTCCATCCTTGAAATATATATTATCTTTCACTGTAGAAGAACACAACTGAGATTCTATAGTGACTGACAGGACTTTAACCGAAGGTAACAGGAAAGGAAAAAAAATTTAGCTGGATTCTGAATCGCACCTTGGACCCCAGCATCACTAGTCAGATGCTTGAACCACTTAGCTACCCAGGCCAATATCTATCATCCATATAGCCCAAGCCACTACCCATGATTATAATGGGCAACTAGCCGTCTTCAAAGATTAAAATTCACACCCTCAGGTCCAGGGATCAGGCCTCAGGGTGTGGCTAAATTGATCATAAATTAGAATTGTTATACAATGTACCCATCTTTACTCTTGAATTTCAATTGATAAGCTGCATGCATGGTAATGATTAGAAAGTCCTCATGAGACTGTTTGATTATATGTCACACGTACAAAAACAGAGTTCCAGTTGATGTCCGATCTGCTTACAACAGTTTAACAGTGATTGGTCAAATGCTATAATTATGTGCTTACTCAATTTTTCAACAATTTCTATTTTTTAGTACAGTGATTTATATTATGTTTGTTGAATTGTTCTATCGTTTTGATCCTCCTTCTTTTTTTGTTTGTTTGTTTGTTTGTATGTTTGTAAATCTTTGCTCCTCCGGGGGCCCAGATTGGACTAATAAAATCTTGTATATCTTGTATTTGTAGTGGTTGGTACAGAGGGGTGATAAGATGGGTGACTGGAGACCATTTGTATATGGAGGGCTGGCATCCATAACTGCAGAGATAGGTAACAGATTCTCTAATATGTACCAGTCATTGTACAGTCTCTACAGAAAAATTAAAATTCTAGTCTTTATTTACTTTTTAAGTCACTTGATTCACTCAGGTAACTTATTTGTTTTATTGCTGTTTGCATTTGTGTGTTGTTTTCTATAATTAGCAAATTGTTGAATTTTTTCAGACTTCTCTGGAACTCCTGTGCTTTTTTAATTATAAATGAATTTGATCAGTACAGATACAATTAATTTCTTAAAACTAACTTTTTAGGTCATACGAGTCACTCACTATTGTTATCTAATCCTGTCTGTTATAACACGTCATTCATAAACTTTTGAGCAATAATTTTTCAGCTTCTTCTCTCAATTCCAATTAATTTTGGTATTTAAGGGAGCCGACTGGGGTTTTATTGTGTGAAAACTACTATAGAGAAACTCTTTAATTTTATACAATATGTACTTTACATTGACTTCAGTATACATGCCAAGTTAAGTGAAAATCTACCATCTGGTTATTTTTTAGGGACCATCTCAAAATACAGGTATATTTACTATAGGATTATATAGGAAAATACCATTTTTTCGCACTTCGGAACAAATTATACAAATGCTACTATAGACTTTTTGCTCAAATTATATTATTTGATGGGTAATACTATATTGTACATTTTGTGCAAGAAACACAAAATTCTACCGTCTGGTTTCCAGAGGGGGGCATCTCAAAATGTCAAAATTCATGATATTTTCCTGTTTTTGTGGAGTACAACAAAACATGACAGATACCACAGATTTACATAAAAAATTATAAAAATGATTGTTAGATTCTCAATTTCCTATGTTTAAAATTTCAAGAGCATGTATTTTATACTTTTTATTTTATGGCATAATCAATGACACCTCTTAAAGAACTTTGGTTATTCATAACGTCAAAAACACACTATTACGATGTCTATCTACCCATCGTATGAAAAATCTTTTAAAAAATCATTTATTTTAAGAGGTAATTAGATATTTTAACCTGAGATTTCCTAAATTTGCTAATTTTTGTAAATTATGTAAAAATAGTTGCTTTAAAAGAGAAAATACGCTTTATTTTACTATGCTGCGCGAAGTATTGCGCAATGAAAACCCCAGTCGGCCCCCTTAACTTCTGTAGGTCAATGGAAAAAATGGAAACAAAATTTGTGAATTTTTTGTTTATTGACCCTCTGGTTTCAGGGCCCATTTTCCCATTTGAAAATAAATGATTCTGCAGGAGGTGAAAATTCACATGAAGGAGATAATATTGAATAAACAAACAATTGAGAAATATATTAGATTTCCTCGTTGATTGTATTGTTGTATGTGAAAACTCAAACTAAACATGAATGTTTTCAGGTACCTTTCCTATTGACACAACAAAGACAAGGCTACAGATTCAGGGGCAGATAATTGACGCTCGGTTGTCCGAGCTTCGATACAGAGGGATGACTCATGCCATGTTGAGAATATTTCGAGAGGAGGGGCTTTCTGCACTCTACTCAGGGTAAAATGGAGAACATTTAATTCTTTTCAAATCATAAGTTTGGATTCTGTAGATTTTACCTTAAGTTATAGTTGTGTTGCTTTTTGTGGCAGAATAAAACTAAAAATTTAATAATGTTTGAAAATAGCACATGAATGTGTATAGCAAGAAAAGGGCACAGCAATCTACAGACCTTAAAATGAAAAAATGGAAGGGGAAAAAAAACCCCGGAGAAATCAAAGCTGTGTGTTATCAGCTGACTGTTACTTGAAACATTCAAGTTTTTTTTTCTCGCCAGAGTTTTTTCCGTGTTAAATTTTGTGTAATGTGTCTGTCTCTTTTGGGAATCCCATATCATGTGTTGCCAAACTTCCTCTTTAATAACCCACTTTTAGCCATTAAATCCTGAACAAATATCTTTTGTTGAATTACCTCACTTACTATGGTGTGAAGAAGTGTATTAATTCCCTTTGAAGGAAACTCTGAAGTCTAGACTTATTTTTTTGTTTTTGTAGAATATCCCCAGCCATTCTTAGACAAGCTACCTATGGAACAATCAAAATTGGAATTTACCATTCACTTAAATCCATGTTAGTTGATAATCCACAAGGTAATTCTGATATACCTAGAAAAATATTACTGAACATAACTATTTCAGTACTATAACAATGTACATACATGCATATATAAAGTATATATAGTGGTCAGAATTGTACCTAAAATACCTAAGAACGTGGGCTAAATTTGAAGAAACTACATGTAACAGTTGTTTAATTTTTATCATATTTGTCAAGAGAATTCTTGAGGCAAGGGTTTTCATTTACTGTGAAACCACTAATTTTCATGTTTTAATTTTTGTTTTTTTGTATGATATAAAGAGACCTTAAATCGATGTCTTCCTTGAAATATTGAAATATCCTGCTAGTATCATTTTTGTCCACCAACCACGAAATTGAATCCTGGAGAATATCCTTTTTCCTCAAACTGCAAAAATTTGTCCCCACAAAAACAAGTGAATTTACATTATTGAATAAAATGTCACAACATTTTATTATTGCCCAAAGGCATGATATGAGACATATGACCTTGACCCAAGTTCATTGAGGTAAGTACAAACTAGGTCTCTGATGAGAAGACTGTGGACTTTGCTGTACACATTTGTAGCAGATGAGAATGTACTTGAACTAAGATAACTTATACAAGGTCAGGGGTCAGAGTTACTGGCATTGTCAATGTATACAAGGTCAGGGTTACTGGCATTGTCAATGTATACAAGGTCAGGGTTACTGGCATTGTCATTGTATACAAGGTCAGAGTTACTGGTATTGTCATAAACCTAGACCAAAATGTACGATCCTCCTGGACCCCTGACTGAGGCTTGAAATGATGGGTTGCTTGTGAAGGGTCATTACTTTGTGAGCTCACTCTTGATCAGTATTGCTTGCTTTAAAATAATAGTAGTTCCAGCATGATCTTGTTATAAAAACTTTGCATTTATTTGGACAGTATGTATTTCATGTGAAAGTCATATTTTCATGATTCCGATGCAGTCTTTGGTTGAAACTTCATGACCACCATGAAATATAAATTTATAATCTATTTGATAAATATATGCATGGATGGTACCAGTTCATGATTCCCCTAGCAGTACTAGAGCCCACATTCCTGCTCGTTTCATTATACTTATAATATTAATGTCAAAACTACAATTGTTGCTACATGTACAGTTTTCTTCCAGAGTCAACGTTATTTATCAATGTTTGCTGTGGAATAGTAGCAGGAATTGTGTCAAGTGCAATAGCCAACCCCACTGATGTTCTAAAGGCAAGATGCTATCAGAAAATCATGCCAACTTACTTTCAAATACTGAGGGAATTAAATTAAGAGTGTTATTTGCATCGTATTGAAACTTATTTCTGTAAATACGTACACCAGTTTTTGATGCTTGGAAAGAAAAGAATACTTGTGCTGCAGTTGTTTATGCTTTTTTTTTTCTAGGTTCGCTTACAAGCTAAGACAGATATAAATGACAAAGAATCCATGTTGCAAGCCTTTGGAAGGATATATAAAGAAGAAGGCATAAAAGGTCTTTGGAGGGTGTGTGTTTATTTAAACAAGAAAATGCTTTTTTTAGTGTTAGTATGGGAATTAAAGTTGCTGCTGTTGCAGAAAAAATACATAACCTGCACATAACCCTCACATAACCCAGGTAAACCTTTTAACTTAAATGCCCATGCTAACAAACAAAGACATTTCATTGTTTAAATGTATGTATGAATATATAAACATCTAAAGTAGGATTAAGTATATTTCATATTGTGTAACTGATAATCTGATATGTACGTCATTGTATGTTTCATTGATGAAAGAGGCACTGCTCATGAAATCTATAGAGTCGGCTTGCTAAAAAAGCTTTAAAGTATTGATAAATGATTGGTTTTCATAGGAAATAAAGGGGATAATATTTTGATGTAAATATAACACTGATTATTTTTTTCACTATAGCTGCAGATTTGTTACTCGCTGGTCTGAAAAAAAATTGAGAAGGATGACCAGAGAGCTACAGTGCAAAAATGTGTATATTTATTGCACACAAAAATAAAATGTGTGTTGTTTCTTGTTGAACTTCAATTGCCATGTTAAGTTTGGATAGAGAATTTTGAGCCACATTTCATCTCTAATGATACATCAACACAATGTTGCAGGGTGTGATTCCCACTGCGCAGCGAGCAGCAATAATTGCTGGCGTGGAGCTTCCTGTGTACGACTTCTCTAAATACTGGATACTTAGATCGGGATATTTTGAAGATAATGTTGGTGTACATTTTATGTAAGGCTTGACTATTAATCAATCACTTTCATTCTTCATAAATGATTTCAAAAAGAATTTATAAAGCCAAGTAGCATCATAAAAGTTATGCATTATCCATTCGTAGGATATTGATACAATAATGCAATAAGATATATTTAGAAATTCAGTTTCAAATTAATTGTTTGCATGAAGAAAAAATGTTAGTTTGAAATTTAAATATCAGAAATAGCTATTAAGGACCCTTATTTGCTTATGAATGTGGTAATTTATAGATAAATTGCTTTGCCATTTGTGTGTACTTTTGCGTTTGTTTAATTTACAGGTCAAGCTTTTTTTTGTACCTTTTGCTAATGAATGTGGTAATTAATAAGAATAAATTGCTTTGCCATTTATATGTATTTTTGTATTTGTTTTATTTACAGATCAAGCTTTTTTGCAGGATTAGCCGGTGCTATATTTTCCACACCAGTTGATGTTATCAAGGTAGGTATTTTATTACATGTACAGTAAAACGTGGTTAATACAGCGAATTTTACAAGATATAATTCTATTTTCAGATATTATATTTGGATTATTAAGAATTCATGCTTTACTCTGAATTGATTTTCATTCTCTATAGTTTTAAAATATGACACATATTGGATTTTAAATAACATAATTTTTGTTTATAACAAAACTCTTTGCTATAAGCATTTTTTTACTGTATAATGTATTTTCCAGTCAGCAAGGTAGGTATTCTATTAAACAAAGTATAGTTTCTAGTTGTTGAATGTTCCCAAGTTGATCTAATACTTGGATTTGGAGCTTTTTTTATTTTGCAGACCTATCAATTAGACATATATCAAAGATGTGCATAGCTCTTGGATTTTGATTTTTGATAATTTAAGAAAAAAAAATCTCAGTTGTTGAAAGTCAATTTCATGAAAAATATTGCATACAGGATCCATTGGTATTGGGAAGTCCTTTCCTACAGTTTTCAGAATAGAAAGCTTTTATAATTTATGTGAGAAATAAGTAGGCCCTACTGTTCACACAAAAGAAAACATGGTTTGCCATCACATTGTCAGCTTTCCCCTTGGTATTTTATGCATGTATACTCATTACTGCAAATTATTTACGGGATCAAGTGTATTGTAAATGTATATATTGGACTTATCACATCATAGAAAGATTTCATTAATGTATATAATGGAATAACCACTCATATAATGATTTTGCAGCATAATGTAACGATATTATCACTTCATTACATTATTTAATCACTACATATAATGACATTGCCACTGTATATAATGATAAAACCACTGCCTATAATAAAGTTATCAATGGATATAATGATTTTACCACTATATATAATGACTTCACCACTACATATAAAGGTTTTACCAACTCATATAATGTGAAAGTGACCTTCAGGCAGCTATGGTGTTCCATATATAGCACCATTCCAAAAATGATGAAAACAACTTCAGTTTTATTAAACTTTTTTTTTAGATAAGGCAGATGGAATGGACTGCTCATTTTTCACTTAATAGAAAGAACTGTTTTCAAATGCAATCTACTTGCAATGCACTTTATTTATTGTTTGATTCAAATTGTTTACAAAATAAATGCTCAAAAATAAAATAAACAACACATTTTCATTTAATTATTCATCAAGTAAAAGATTTCATAAGCTGTATGAAAAGATCATATAATCTTTTTTTTCATCACAGACAAGAATGATGAACCAAAAAAACCTTAAGGAAAAGACTTTGTCTTCCAAGATCTACTCCTCCTCTATTGATTGTGCTATACAGGTAAATGTCACTCATCCATTGATTGTGCTATACCGGTAAATGTCACTCATCCATTGATTGTGCTATACAGGTAAATGTCACTCATCCATTGATTGTGCTATACAGGTAAATGTCACTCATCCATTGATTGTGCTATACAGGTAAATGTCACTCCTCCATTGATTGTGCTGTACAGGTAAATGTCACTCCTCCATCGGTTGTGCTGTATAGGTAAATGTCACTCCTCTATTGATTGTGCTATACAGGTAAATGTCACTCCTCCATTGATTGTGCTATACAGGTAAATGTCACTCCTCTATTGATTGTGCTGTACAGGTAAATGTCACTCCTCCTCTATTGGTTGTGCTATATAGGTAAATGTCACTCCTCTATTGATTGTGCTGTACAGGTAAATGTCTCTCCTCCATTGATTGTGCTATATAGGTAAATGTCACTCCTCCATTGATTGTGCTGTACAGGTAAATGTCACTCCTCCATTGATTGTGCTTTACAGGTAAATGTCACTCCTCTATTGATTGTGCTATACAGGTAAATGTCACTCCTCCATTGATTGTGCTATATTGGTAAATGTCACTCCTCCATTGATTGTGCTATATAGGTAAATGTCACTCCTCCATTGATTGTGCTATACAGGTAAATGTCACTCCTCTATTGATTGTGCTATACAGGTAAATGTCACTCCTCCATTGATTGTGCTATACAGGTAAATGTCACTCCTCCATTGATTGTGCTATCTTGGTAAATGTCACTCCTCCATTGATTGTGCTATATAGGTAAATGTCACTCCTCCATTGATTGTGCTATACAGGTAAATGTCACTCCTCTATTGATTGTGCTATACAGGTAAATGTCACTCCTCCATTGATTGTGCTATACAGGTAAATGTCACTCCTCCATTGATTGTGCTATATTGGTAAATGTCACTCCTCCATTGATTGTGCTATACAGGTAAATGTCACTCCTCTATTGATTGTGCTATACAGGTAAATGTCACTCCTCCATTGATTGTGCTATACAGGTAAATGTCACTCCTCCATTGATTGTGCTATATTGGTAAATGTCACTCCTCCATTGATTGTGCTGTATAGGTAAATGTCACTCCTCTATTGATTGTGCTATACAGGTAAATGTCACTCCTCCATTGATTGTGCTATACAGGGGTAGACAAATAGAATTTTGTAGTACTTGCCCTCGGACAGGTTACCATAGTAAAATTACTTGACATTAAAAGGTCTTAAAGCCATTTCTTTTTTGACTTGACATCCGTAGCTGTTATGTTTTACGTCTTGTATATATTTTAACAACACATGAATGGAAAAACTCTAGAGGAGTTCTGAACGAGTATTCGATGTAGTGGTCAACAGCAGCAAAACATGATTCATATTTTAACCAACAGCTGTAGAACAAAAGACATTTGAGAATATGATTTTTTGTTAACAGGAAAACTACTTGTCCACGGGCAGGTAGCACTTATCAAATAACTTGCCTGCCAAACAAAATTGGTTGTCCCGGGGGTTGGGCAGTGCTATTTGTCTATTCCTGCTATACAGGTAAATACTCCCTCTCCAAAACAGTAAACAACAAACAACCAATCAATTACTCTCCCTCTATTGATTGTTCTATACAGCTAATTACTTTTCCTCCATTGATTGTGCTATACAGGTAATTATTTCTGCCCCTCCTGTAAAAAAGATAATTATTTCTGCCCCTCTTGTTATATAAGGTAATTATTTCTGCCCCTCCCATAATAAAAGATAATTATATCTGCCCCTCCTGTAATATAAGGTAATTATTTCTGCCCCTCCCATAATAAAAGATAATTATATCTGCCCCTCCCATAATAAAAGATAATTATATCTGCCCCTCCCATAATAAAAGATAATTATATCTGCCCCTCCCATAATAAAAGATAATTATATCTGCCCCTCCCATAATAAAAGATAATTATATCTGCCCCTCCTGTAATAAAAGACAATATTTCTGCACCTCCCGTAATATTAGGTAATTATTTCTGCCCATCCTCTAATATAAGGTCATTTCTTCTGCCCCTGTAATATATGGTAATTATTCCTTCCCCTCCTGTAATAAAAGATAATTATTTCTGCTCCTCCTGTAATATAAGGTAATTATTCCTGCCCCTTATAATATAAGGTAATTATTTCTGCCCCTTCTGTAATAAAAGGTAAGTATTTCTGCCTCCCCCCCCTCCCGATTGTGCTTTACACATGAATTCTACTTATTGTTTGTTGTCATAAACCAATCAGTCAAACTTGCATACTCTACCTGTATTGTGACAATTTAAAAAAAAAATAATAATGGTAATTATTTAGATTTTACTTGATCATTGAGAAAAAATAGTCAAGAATGAGTGATGATTTTCAGTATTTACTGAATAAATTTATTTTATCCATCTATAAACTTTTTCTTTGCAGACGACAAAAACAGAAGGATTTATGGCTCTGTATAAAGGTTTCGTCCCTATTTGGGTCAGGCTGGGTCCATGGAATATTATTGTATCCTTCATAATATTTCTGATAGAAATGTTAATTAGTTTATTAAGGTTTTTTTTTTATAAGAAAGTCAGTGCAAAGGGGTTATCACTGGCATAGAAAACTAAATGATTATATATTATTCTTATAATGAAAGATAGATAGATCTGCTTCTGATACGTATTGTTTTTAATTTAATGGGCTTTGAGTTTGAATACTGTTCGTTATCTCCGTATTTCATAGATATAATAATGAAGGTCAGAAGAAAGTGGAAATTTGAAATACAGTACAGGCTGTTCTGGCATTTGTAGATCTATTTTTAGACAACGGTGTATTTTTAACGTATATATACGTAGTTCCGATGAAAAAAAAAACATAAAAGGTATAACAAAACATTTATTTACTGTGTTCTTGGGCGAAATGCGTTTTGTCGACCCTCGAACCAAACTGTTTGCCTTCAGCCTCACTGCCTGTCAGCCTCAGGCAAACAGTTTTGTTTTGGGGTCTGACAAAACGCATGTTGCCCTCGACCCGAGTCAAAAATGTAAAATATTTCATGGTAACAATTTCTTTGACAGTTAAGGTTTATTCTTTGGGATTAAAAAAAACTGTCATACATTAAATTACTTTAGAAATACATATACGAAGGTTGTCCAATGCCCATAAAGTTTGGACAGATGCTATTATAATTTTCTTAATAAAGTCCACACTGGCAAACTTGTACGATGATATTTTAAAATAGACCATGATTTTGTAAATATATAAAAATTAAAACAATGCCACTATTTTACAAACGGTACAGGTGTAAATACTTTGTACATGTAAATGCAAGCCGCACTGCCCAGTCTGACGTAAAGCTAATTTCAATTAAATCAATTATGGTCTATACATAAATATTATTGCACACGTTTGGCAATGTGGCATAATGAAGAAAATAACAATTTCAAATCAATGAACTAAATTTATTGCAATAATTTCAAGTTGTTTGAATAAATATTTTGTCTCTGAAGTCCTTTCAGCCATATTTAAAACCTTTTTTTATGATTGGACGTTGTCCCGTTCGGATGGCCAAAGTCACTTTTTCTGTTAATTTTTGAAACATTTTTCTTGCTGAATTTACTTAATATCTTCACTGTCTGTATAGTAGGCGATACTAAAGATATTAGAAAATGACGATAGCCACTTTATTTGCGAAATATTTACTTTTTGTTAAGCTTTGACTTATTTTATAAAGAAAATAATCATTTTAATCAGAACACTTTATTTAAAAGTTTATGGCATTTTAAAGACCGCGATTTTTACAAAAATATTAAGTTCAAACAATAAAAACTAAATTATTTTGAATTGGGTTTTCATAACAAATATCTAGGTATACAGTAAGTATATCTAGAACCATTCGTTTTGACAAAAAGTCCAGAAACTTTACGGACAACCCTCATAGTACAGCTTTTCGTTTGTGACAAGAAAATTTAAGATGGACAAATTTTGTGCGTTTTACGTCCATCATAAAATCTTTTTTTGAGCTGATTATGTCGACAAAATGCAGCAAGCTCTCTACAGAATGAAGTGGATTTCACATATTTAAAATGTACAATTAGAGTTTTACGGTATTAAATGAGAAATATATTGCAAATAAAGAATATGATATCTTTGTACCATATAACATTATTTTCTAGTATAAAATCTAGTAGGAAATTTATTCTCGGTGATATTTTTGAGTAGTTTTGAGAAAAAGGCAAATAATTATGAATAAAATGTCAGCAGCAAATGGAGGAAATAGAATAAGTGAAGTAAACAAAGTAATCGATTTATAGGGTCATTTACCAGTTTAGAAATTAGACTTACACCCAGTTTAAATGGTGAAAGCTAGACTTCTGTGGTCTATTGGCCTCAGATCAGATCTACCTTAATATTTCTCTCCATATAAAATTTATTTCCATAATTTCCTTAACTATTTCAACAGTTTTTCATGACTTATGAACAGCTGAAGAAAGTTAAATGAGTTGTCAGAGGCATATTTGGTAAAATTTAGAGTTATAGAAAATTACTTATTTGTGGAAAGTTCATAGGATTTTTTTTAAATAAAAAGGCTTTATTTTAAAGTTAATATAAGTATGTGTATTGAAAAATAATAAAGTACATGGATAAAGCAAATATAAAAGCACACAATTATAGATATTGTATTTTACTAGTGCAATATGTCAAATGATTTGTTAATAAAGTTCTTGATTTCAATGAATGGTGTTGCCATGTTTACTAAAAGTAGCCTTAACGTGGCTTAACTTGTTACTTAACAGTACTTCTCCTAAACTTTAGTTTGATTTCAATAAAAATGATTACACAAATGCATTTTTGTTTTTATGCCCCCGTAATCGAAGATTCGGGGGCATATAGTTTTTGCCCTGTCCGTCCATTTTTCTGTCTGTTTGTCCGCAAAAACTTTAACCTTGCCCATAACTTTTGATTGGTTGAAGCGATGTGTTTCATATTTCACATGTGTATTCCTTGTGACAAGGCTTTTCTTTGGGTACCATAAAATTTGACCTTGGAGTTTGACCCACTTTTGCAAAAATTTTTTAGACTTTAACCTTGGCCATAACTTTTGATTAGTTGGTGCTAGGGCTTTCAAACTTCACATGGGTATACAGTAAAACTCGGTTATAACGAAGTCACTGGGACCTGTGAAATTACTTCGCTATACAGTAAAACTCGGTTATAACGAAGTCACTGGGACCTGTGAAATTACTATATCCGTAATTCGTTATATCCGTATAAGGAATTCGTTAAATTTATACAGCTGAGGATCCAAAATAACTTCGCTATATCCGTGTATTCGCAATATCCGTGTTCGTACTAAACGAGTTTTACTGTACCTTGTGACAAGACCTTTCTTCGGATACAAACAACTTTAACCCTTTGACCTTGACCTTCAAGTTTGATCTACTTTTGAAAAAACGTTAACCTTGGCCATAACTTTTGAACAATTGGTACTAAGGCTTTCTTACTTCACATGTGTAATCCTTGTGACAAGGCCTTTCTTTAAATACCAAAAAACCTTGACCTTGGAGTTTGACCTACTTTTGAAAAACTTTAACCTTGACCATAACTTTTGAATTGTTGTTGCTAGGGCTTTCATACTTCACATATGTAATTCTTGTGACAAGACCTTCCTTTTGATACCAACAACTTTGACCCTTTGACCTTGATCTTGGAGTTTGACCTACCTTTGGAAAACTTCAACCTTGGCCATAACTTTTGAACGGTTGGTGCTAGGGCTTTCATACTTCCCATATGTAATTCTTGTAACAAGACCTTCCATTGGATACCAACATCTTTGAACTTGGAGTTCGACCTACTTTTGGAAAACTTTTACCTTGGCCATTACTTTTGAATAATTGGTTCTAGGGCTTTCATACTTCACTTATGTAATCCTTGTGACAAGACCTTACTTTAGATATCAACAAATTTGACCCTTTGACCTTGGAATTTGACCTACTTTTGAGAGACTTTAACCTTAGATATAACATTTGAACGGTTAATGCTAGGGCTTTATATTTCACATGTGTAATTCTTGTGAGAAGGCCTTTCCTTGGGCACCATTAATTTTGACCATTTGAACTTGACCTTGATGTTTGACTTACTTTTGAAAAACTTTAACCTTTTCCATATCTATTCAATGGTTGCTGCTAGGATTTTCATATTTCACAAGTATATTCTTCGAGACAAGACCTTACTTTGGGTACCAACATATTTGATTTGCATTTGAGAAAGTTTAACTTTTGTTATGAGTTGCCATACGGGGGCATCAGTGTTTCACAAACACATGTTGTTTTATATGGGTTTTTGATATATATATATATATATATATATATATATATATATATATATATATATATATATATATATATATATATATATATATATATATATATATATATGGCTCTAAATTCGCTCTTGAGTACATCTGGGAGGACAAAGAATTCTGTAGACACGTTTTTTCCTTAGATTTCTTTATGTGTATTTGAAGTTTTGACTCTAAATAGGATAAAAAAAAATGTTTGAATAGATAATTAAGTCAAAAATAAATATTTTATTAATGTTTGAAATGTGTGTCACGTAACACATGACAGACATATAACGTAACATGACAGACGAATAATAAAACGTGACATGATTAAATTACATTTCTGATGCTTAGCAATACAAATAATCTGTAAAAAATAAAATTAAACAATTCCTTAAAGCATTTTTTTTTCACTCTTACGTAGAAGAAAAAAGATTTTTAAGCTACTTTTGATGCACAAACTGATGATCGTAACACTGACAGACTCCTTTACTTAGCCAGCCAAATCAACCATAAACTTTAATTATTTTATCAAAAAGATAATGTTGCCGTAAGAAATGGACATTATTCAAATTTTGATTCCTTATAGATTTTAAATTTGAATTTTAAAAAAATAAATCTCTGCTATATGCTTTGTAACATACAAAATTTCCACCATGTCTGTCATGTTACGATATTTCTTGAGCAATACCTGTTTGAAACGAGCCAATAAAATTTATCATTCAAAGCTTATCTTTTATTCTTGGAAATTATAATACCCAAGACATTATTATTTATGAAAATACTAATGAAATTTAAAAAAATAAATTATTTCATATAGATCAAACCTATATCGTAACATGTACGGATGCACGTAACACTGACAGACTCGTTTTAAAAACTGCAAGAAAACAAATACAAAATTGTATTGTTTAAGTTATAAAGACAAATTTTGCCTTATGATACATTAATATTCTTAAATAAAAATATTTTTTTGGTTTAATTCATTGAACGTATAAATCTGAATGCACCCGTTTGATTCACGTAACATGAACAGACATCCGTTTTGTCCGTCACCGTTACGATAGTATTCAGGCAATGTCTGTCAATCGGTAAGTTATGTAAGAAATGTCAAATTCTAAGTGTTTATGTAGTGATGAAGAGCGTGCAAGTTCATATTAAAAAAAAAAATCCAGAATACACCTACTAGTTGACAATATTTAATGATATGTGTTTAAAATCTAGGATAAAGACAACTTATATTTTCATGAACGTAACATACTTTGTGTAATGTAACACTTGACAGACAAACGTTCGTGGCTTCTCGGGCACTCTCTGTAGCTCTTCTTATCGAAATGTAAACACATTTGCATAGAACACTGGAGAAAATTTAAATATTCATAACCTTTAAGTCAAATGTATCTCCGAGCTCCATTCTTAAAATAGAACGTAACGCCCACTTGCCATGACAGACACAGGAAGGATTCCACAGATTTGTTAATTTCTAAGCACATGTGCTTTTCTGTTGAATCTGCGATCACTTGATAAATAGTAAATTTTCTATCAGTAGACAAGAAAGATAAAATAGTTTTCATAAACAATGGCCCATTTTATAACAATGTACCCGGTGTGTTGAGACTGACAGACGTTACGTTCAAAATATGAGAAGAAATAAATTCCAATTTTCTTTTATTTTAGACATAATGTGCATTAAAATACTTTTGTATGTTAGTTTTATCCTTCCTAAACAGTAGTGAATGAAGATATTCTGTGTACAAGGTATTATCGCCGTATATTTGTCTTTTATTTTGACATGGTTGAAAATGTCCCCCTACACATGCGTAATTCTAGTGGAATTATCCAATTCATTTCAAGAAAAAAAAAGTAAGTTGATGAAAAAATCTGCTTATTTTATCTTTTTTACATATTTGCAATATACTTTTCAAAGTAAAACATTTCTTATGTCAATTTTTTAAATAATTTATTTTATATTCCTCTTGTTAAAATCATAGGTCAAGATGTACTCAAGAGCGAATTTAGAGCCATATATATATATATATATATATATATATATATATATATATATATATATATATATATATATATATATATATATATATATATATATATATATATATATATATATATATATATATATATATATATATATATATATATATATATATATACAACTGTGCATTTTCTTTTACGAAATTTGGAAACTGTGCATTTTCTTTTTCTTTTACGATTATTTTGACTGTGTGACATCTTTGAAGTACTTTTGAATTTTATATATATATATATATATATATATATATATATATATATATATATATATATATATATATATATATATATATATATATATATATATATGTATGTATGTATGTATGTATTGAAGTTAAGAACATTGCTCATTAGAATAATGAACAGTTTTTAGTTCCTTAAAATCCAGGAGTAAAGAACAAGATTTTATGTGAAATGTATCGCATCATACATGTATATGACCAACTTTGCCCCACTAAGCCTTGGGCCTGAAAACAAGGGCCTTTATATTGCAACTACTTGTATCCAGGAAGATTTTTGAAGATCGCATTAATTTTCATGGTTTTAGCATGGCCACATCCATCAGTCCTCATGGAGGCAGAGGCTGTGAAATTCAAAATGTTTGCAAACATGCTTTGAAATTGGTTCGGAGAAGTTGAAAACGTTCAAAAGTAATAGACTGACGCAAAATGCACGACGGCAGACGAAAAAACGGTTAGAAATAGGTCAAGTGAGTGATTCAGTTGACTTAAAACTAATCCTGTTTTGTAGTTCCAGTTTCTTCTTGGAACCTTACAAAAGTCACGGAGAACCGTTTAGCACTAAATGATATTGTTCTTATTGACAAGTGACGCTGGGTACTCTAAACATTAATTTTCCAATATCGGCGAAAAATTAATTAACACCTGTTAATGAGATATAAGTCGTGACATTATCACCTGTCACATCTTCCTATAAGAAATTTGTTCTTATGTAGGTTATCATATACATAACTTCAATCATCTACATGTGGCTGCATTTCCGAAATCAAGAAACAAAGCCATTACTCGTTATTGCACGAATGTGAGCAGTTTTCTAGATGTTCAGTTTTGACTTTTATTCATACATATGCTATAATTTGTAAAACTTTTGGAAGAATTTGTCAGCGATGCATCATCAGACAATGCAGGTAATTTTTTTAAAAAATAATTTACTGATTTAATTACTTGTTATGACTTTTGCTTTACATCTTTGTACATGAGCGAAATATTATAGGAACCAATTCTTCTGAAGAATGAAGTACATTTGCAAACTTCTTATGATTTTACACATTTAACAATGAATAGGCTTTTTTTCTATTGAAATGTTGAGCATTTTGGCGCCTAAAAGGCTAATAAAACTTTCATAAGCCACTGTGGTTTATATTATTTTAAAGTAGTCAGTAGTTGTAAGTAGGGTCATAAATCTGCGGGTTTTTTTTAATAAACGTACCCAGAA